TTTCCCCAGAATTGATTTCTTCCAAAATCAATTTTTCCCACAATTGATTTCTTACAGAATTGGTTTTCCCTAGAATTGATTTCTTCCAAAATCGATTTTTCCCACAGTTGATTTCTTACCAAAATGGTTTCCCCCAGAATTGATTTCTTCCAAAACCGATTACCTGCAGAATCGATTTCCCCGAGAATTGATTTCCTCCACATTTTCTCATCTCTTCGAGATTTAATTGCTCCGTACGTAGTGCAATATTTAAATGAGGATTAATGAAGCATTTAGTATGTCCGCGAAGCTGGATCAGTTTCATGCGTTGGCAGCTGAGGAGAAGTGCCAGAGCCACCGGTGGAATCGAAATGACCGATTTCAAACTTTCTATTTCCCCACTCACCGGTGTTATTTAAATCCTAACAAGTATACCTCCAGTATACCTCTTCGGTTTTACAAAAAATTCTGAAGCAGTCGTTTCACACACTCGCCATTCCCAGCGTTCATAAATATCGAAGAGCTTTTAGAGACAACGTTCTAACCTCTCCGCTAATGCCAGTTTACTATCTGTTCGTGGCAGATAACAGTCTCAAACATAAAATCACTCGCACCTTGATCCATAAGAGGATGCCGTAGTCTCATCGGGTCTCTAAAAAACAGTGAACAAAACTATCTGGGCTATTGCTATCGTCTTCCTCGTCGTCACAACTGGCAACAGCTACCGTTCGACCGATAACACCTAATAAACCTAAGTCGGTAAACCTTATTACCACGCCATTGGAACGTCTCGCAGGCGTCAGCCGATCATCTCCTCCGATTACTCGTTCACGGTATCTTGGAATGCGATCCGGGGAAGCTCGTCGAGCAGTGCTTCGACAGAGGGAATAAATAAAGAACACTAGAGGAGAATATCTTACCAGATGATAGAAATTTCTGACAAATTTCTGGACCAGAAGAACGGATAAGAAACATGAACATCCAATTTCGAGGATTCTCATGTTCAGAGGACACGTTTGCATACGTATTTGTATGCATTTGAATTTCAAAACAGCTAACATCGACGCTTATCGAATAATTACTATGCAAAATTTAAATAGAGTCGCAAGGCTTCTGGTAATGCTTTTAGAGTTTAATTAATGAAACTATAATTGAAATGAAAGAGCTCGTCTAACAAGTATGAGTTAATTTGAGGCTGTTCCCAGCCGGGAACGGTAGCCAATTTAGCTGTTATAAGTTGTACTTTTATCTTCTTTCGGTTTCGTGCTCATCGCTGATGATCATATTCAACATAAATATTCTCCAGGATTGTGGGAATATTTTCAGCAAGTTTCAGAGCAACAAATGTCCATTCTACAGTATGTACTTGACAAGATATTTGCTGATAACAGAATATTCTATTTAACGAATATTCTATTTCTCGTTCTCCTTTCGATTATACAGGGTGTTCCAGGTTTTAATGTTGAAACTTTGTTAGTGTATTCTATGGCACAAAGTAAGAACGCTTCGCGGATAATTAAATCTGTCAGATAATTAACAGCCTCGGCCCGGTCAGCGATGTTCCACGGCGGTGATGAAAATTTATAAGCGGCAATCTTGCCGCGCGGTTTCGTCAAATGTCCCGTGGCGACTCACGGAATTACAGTTCGCGCGTATTTATAGCTCGTTGATCCGACGTCGATCATTCGCATCAATTACCAAGTTCTGAATCTGTCAGTAGAAAATCTTCCTTGTTGGCTTTATCTTGCGATCTCTTCCATCCGATTTATTCTTCATTGTACCACGGGGGCTGGGGATAATAGGCAGTGGCCAATTTTTAATCATTTGTGGCTCTTCTTTTTGTTCGGTTTCGTTACGATGTTAGAGAATAGTCCTTTCTGTTTATATACAGGGTGTCCCAGGTTTTAATGTTCAAACTTTGTCAGTGTATTCTATGGCACAAAGTAAGAAAAAAATGTTATGTAAACATATAGGTCTTATAGAGCTTTATTAAGAAGTTATAACGAAAGTTCAGAATAGGAATAATAATTGCACTAGAATAGTGAAGTATTGGCTTGAATAGATCAGCGCATGCCGTGTGTTTACGTAAGCTGTGTTTATTAATACATTTCGAAACGTATTAATAACCGTTGTTGACAATACATGATTGACATCGACCGAAGATTTTTCGGAATATTTTTATTCCGACTTAACTCTTTAGGGCACAGAATTTCAGAAAATAAAATAGACCCAAGTGGCACGGAGATTTTATTGCGTTTTAAATTAAACAAAATTAGTATCAACGAAGGATCCTCATAATATAAAAACATCAAAAATAATAATAATTCAATCCAATTTGTACTTATAGAGTGGGACTCAAATAATCCCACCGTGCTACATGGGTTCATGAATGCGCATGCAGCTATTGCAATATTTCGAAGTGGGTCTAATATAGAGTTTTATTAAGAAGTTATAACAAAAATTCTGAATATATATATATATATATATATATATATATATATATATATATAGAGAGAGAGAGAGAGAGAGAGAGAGAGAGGAATAGTAATTGCATTAGAATAGTAAAGCATTGGCTTGAATAGATCAGCGCGTGCCGTGTGTTTATGTAAGCTGTGTTTATTAATACATTTCGAAATATATTAATAACCGTTGTTGAAAATACATGATTGACATCGATCGAAGATCTTTTTTTATTTTTTATTTTTTTTTTAGTTGATTACTATTCCTATTCTGAATTTTTGTTATAACTTCTTAATAAAGCTCTATAAGACCTATGTTTACATAACACTTTTTTCTTACTTTGTGCCATAGAATATACTGACAAAGTTTGAACATTAAAATCTGGAACACCATGCATATTTATCCTAACCGTATTCCGCAAATGTGAAAGCTATTTTAACGACTATCAGAGAATTTGTTGTCCATTAAAAAATACAGACCTCGAATAATATGGAAATCGCAGACGTAAACGACGGATTTCTCGTTTTCTTTCTACGATACGCTAATCGTCGAAAATCATACGCGCTCCCGTTACTTTCTACAAACGCGGGAGTAGTTCTGGCAATGGTAGGTGCCGTTTAGCAGTACGGTGCTCGGAAGATATCCGCTGGCGACAGGATATCGCGTTAAACGCGGCGATTCCAGGTGAAACCGACTCGCGCCGGATTTATTCATAAAGGGACTGTCGAGGAAGCCGCGCCGCGCCGGCGGCCAGGGGCACGGAGAAAAAGGGAGAGAAAAAGGGAGAGAATGAGGGAGATAGCAAGGAGAGAGAGAGAGGAGAGGCTGTGAGCGACGGGCAACAGCACTCGAAATCGACGGTATACGCGTCGCGTTTATATTAAAAGCTTGCAAATTCGTCGCGAGCGCGAGCTGTCCCGAATGCAAAAGAGGAGAATGACGAGGAGCTACGTTTGGCGGAAGCGGGCGTCCGGAGCGTGGGTGGATGGCGGGCCGGCTAAAGGATGGGAAAACGATGGAAACGCGGATATTCGGGCGACTGACTGGCATATACAGCCCTATCTCTGTTCAGCCGACGGTCTTCGCCGGCGTTTCTTCTCGCCGTCGACTAATATTAGCGGGAGCGGGCCAGCAGCTCGGCCGGGAAACCGTGGACGAGTATTTTTAATTATTATTTACGAACAAATGGGAGGAGCGAGAAGAGAGAACCGGCCGGAGAGATGAATATGAAAAAGCACTTCATTTTTTTAATTGGATACGCCCGGCCGCAGAGCGGCCGCGCTCGAGCCCGCTCCGGTCCGCACCGCGGCCGCACACCTCCGACTGAATTTTAATTTTGATTAACCGGCGAAAAGCTCGACGCGGACCGTCCCGCCGCTGTTTGCCGAATTCAAGCCGAGCAGAAACCGACGGGACAAACCACGGGGACGTATTTATCGCCGTCCTATCGGTCGACATAGCGACGGAAGTTCGTCTGTCGCGTGAAGCGAAATCGGAACGATGTGAAAGAATTCTTCTAAAATGCTACATTTACCGATATTATAATCTATGCAAAATTTTACTCGTGTTAATGTTAAAAGATGATACAAATGTTCGTCGGAAATATAGAGTGATCCGAAGGCACATTAGAATGAAATGAAGAATTTATGAACGTAAAAAGAATTTTGAGAAATAGGGACGCATGTATCCTGCTGTTATTTATATTTCCTTGTTAGTTTCTTATGTAAAACAATGGCGATATTTATAAGATCAAGCGTAGATTTAAAAAAAAAATTGTTTCAGTCCAATTACTGTACAGCGGCGAAAACGAAGATATACAAGTTCGCGAATATTGTTGCTGGACACAAATAGTACTCCATCTGCTGGAAATAATTAGTATTTTTCTTGGTGGAAGTAATTAGTGTTTTAGTTCTGCCAGTGATGCTTCGATGGCTGCCGGAGGCATACAGTTTTTCCTTCGGGGTATCAACATTTATACCGCGGGAGTTCTATCAGACAATTAGCGAACATTGTCGGTGGAAACAATTAGTGTTTTAATTGCTTGAAAAAGTTGGAGCTTCAACGTTATCAGCAACACTGCAAAAAACTCCCTCTAGTTTCTGTTTATGGAATATAGAATTCTGTTTGCCCCAGAAGCACCTTCGTAGTTCCAATGACCAATTAAAAAAAATTCGTGATACTCATAGTAGTCTAATTGCAACTTTCGTTTGAATTCAAACTTTTAATAAACCATATTGGAGATCCATTAATTACTTGGAGAATAAGTAAAACGCATAGGAAGCGAATGAAATTATTCTGAAAACTCGAAAGGAATTCACGAAAATCTGAAATTTTCCATTCTGACGATTCGAATACGTACATACAGTAAATTCCTCCTATTTGACGCTCGGATTCTGCACAAAAAATTGACAATATGGGAATAGGAGATACGATTATTCGAAAATTGCGGCTCGTTTTTATAGTTACATAAGAATTACATAAAAATCCGTAAGAAAAAGTT